ACGATGGTGGCATTTAATTCATTATTAGCGTAAGTCTTAATCATCTAATTGAAAAAACAGACCTATACGTAATCAAATATTGTACTTGGCTCCAGTCTCTTTTTTTTATTCAGTGTTTTCAACTTCTTTATGAAAAGGCTATCTTATATACTACTAAAAATAGACGTCGATGGATTCGTATAGATTCTTTATTTTTGTCGAGAACGAAATACGTAATTACTTTCTCAATTCAGACGCTATTAAAGAAAGTGCTATCTTTTCTTTGAAAGTATGAAACGATAAATTTCGAAGTTGGGGTTTCATACTTCTAGACCTCTGAGACGGGATATGGAGCTAAAAAACTTTCCGAAAATGTCTCTCAACTTTGTCTGTTTAAATAACTACTATTGTTTAAAGTTAACTTTGTAATCATAAAGTAAAACGAATTTTGCTTTTTCTGGTACATAAAACTGAGAGTTAATTTACTACACAATGAATGACCGTGCATTTTCATACAACAAATTTGGTGAAACTAACAAAAAAGCGGGAACATGCTGGAAATGAATTATGTACTTCAAAAAAGACAAAATATAAAAATATATCATCTACCTGCGCAATGTAGATGTGAAGATATACGCAGTGTTAGCAAGAAAAAATTGTCTAATATCTCTTACATTCTTTCGACACATTTAGACTAAATGTTTACCTACATAAAGGTTCAATCAGACATGTACAATTAATTCTAGAAAGCCATTTTTATTATACCAGTAATTTTCAGTTTGTGTCAACACATTATAATTTTTTTCAGGGTCTCGTTTAATTTAATTCTGTTTTTCATATCAGAGATATCTGATGAATTCTGAAGTCATCAGGTTTCCAAAAAAAAAAAATTCAGCCAAATTACAATTTAGGGTTCCTCAAACAAATGGAACGCTTGTCTACTGTGGCAAAAGCGATTGAAAATTATGTCACGAAAATTAAGTTTTTCATCTACCATAGGTAATTATAATTTTGCATATAAGCTAATCAAAAAACAATCTATTGAAAGAAATAAAAGCAATCATTCGGTACCGCTAAAATTATATTCATTGTGAACAAAATTTATAGTGTATTGATTAGTTTCGTTTATTTATAATATAATCCGTTATTTTAAAGGTAAGGTAACCTTTTGTTGAAGCACACATTTGTAGTTTATGTGGAAGAGGACATCCTGAAATTTACAGCTTTCCAAAAGTGTTCGTAGCTCTATGAATCTTTTTATCAGAATTTTAACATTAAATTTGCACCAGTATTGAAAACGTACATGAAACCAAATGAAATTTCTAATAATAAAATAATTTCGTCAAATACTAAGCCTGTACAGAATCCAGCATAATTCTACGAACTCTTTGACATTGTTCTGTTTGATAAATGAGTTTTCGATTACAAAAACATTATACATATTATTTATTTTCCAATAATAATCCACAATATTGATAAAACAACGACATATACCTACATATAAACAAAACTGTAATATTCAGAGTTCTATTAATTCTGTTAGGATCCTCATTGACGCTCACTGCCCTCACAGTTCAATAGTTCGATATCTGAATTTGAAACACGTATGGGAATATAATTTAACTGTCTGAGTCTAGACGATTGAATGTCTGAAATACACCCAAATTACATGTCGCGACGAGAATAGTATATCCAAAGAAAAAAATCTCAAAAACCCAATTCAATTGCAATATGAGTAAATTGAAAAAGTTTCGACCAAAAAAAGAAAAATCTAACGCCTGACGATCTCTAATTCATCTTGAAAAACAATGGGATGGATTTTTTGTCACAATACTCTGTAAAGTGCTGTCATAGGGTACCAGAAAAAAATATATTTATTTTACTATACGTGCTTAAGTGACTACATTCAGTACACTTAAGGGAGATTAAAAAAAAACTATCCAAGAATGTGTAAAAGAACTTTCGTACTTTTGTGAATGTATTATTCCGCGTGGTCAATCTAATTGCTTTTAAAGGTAAAAAATTACGGAAGCTATTAATTTTTTAAGCAACTAAAATAATCCTGAGTGTAGTCTGTTAAAAAAGCTGTTCCCATCATTAACTTTACTTTTATTAGACAAATTACAATTAGATGAGAGCTGCAGGCGAGTGATGAAATTTGCTTTCCCGAAACACTAATTATTGTTATTATTGCTCCCGAATATCAGAAAACGACAATCTCCTAAAACACGAAACGTTGCAGTAATGGAAACAAAACGACAATAATTAGATTTAAAAAAATGGTAAAAGATATGGATATGACATAAATAATAATCATCCATTGCAGGTCATTACAACGTATCTAGATCTGGTCAGGCGAGTTCGTATCAAGATATCAGCTGAAAAAAAGCCACAACGGAAATGGCTTTTCAGAACCTGATTCGTATCCGGCGACTGTAAAAACAAGTAAAGCCAGTTCAACAGCGAACGCCTAGAGGGAGTTGGTGGTGGTCTTGAAAGGCAGGACAGCTACTTTGAAATATGCACTGCGCTCGACCATGAAACAAACTCTCATTTGCGTTAAATGAGAATTTTAATGATTTTTAAATATAACATGATTCCAAAACGAAAAACGCGGGATGAATTCTAATATGAAGGGATTGCTGGCTTTGTGTCTGAAAATACAACCTACAGCTTGTTTAGCTCTTTACAAAAGGAGACGCCTCATTATCTTTTTCACTGCCGAAGCCTTTTAAAAAATCATTTTGGATACATTAAATACGCTAACATGTTTTCTTTTGGCCTGTTGTTGTTCAGACATGAAAATTATTTTGTAATTAATACGCCAGAGAATGCGAATTGCGGACAAGCGAAAATTTCAGCTGAAGGAAGAGTCGCCATTCAGTGACGTCATCTAAGACAAATTTTTCACAGCTGAGCAAGTGTCCTTTTTCACAGCAGAAATAATCCAGTTTTCAGTATAATAAGTGACCCATGAACGGATCAGATCCTTATTAGTAAAGGTCAATGTTTTCAACTGCATACGGGATATATTTCAACTAGTGTCTTCAATTATTCAAACATTACTACCCATTGATAATTTAAGTTTCATTTCAAACTCCTCTCAGCCTGTCGGAATTGTAGATCTCGGTTAGTGATTACTTATTTATTAATGATGAACATTTTACCAAGGTTATTTATTGATTGGCATACCACAAACCATTTACTCCTTTAAAATTTATGGCTACTTAATAAATTAGGTTTAACTACTTTTTCAAAGTGTGGAAAATAGCAGTGATGGTTAAAAAAACTCACTCGTACCCTCAAATTTGTACATCATAATTTCCTGATTAGCGTTGCTTTTTAATAAACCCCATCTTTTGACAGTAAGCTCTTCAAACGTAATTACATTTTGTCCATCGATCAGCTTTTCATCCACGACTTTGTTAAACATTGTTATAACACGGGATTATTACCAAACGTGTCATCACCTCTCCGGGCCAATAATCGCTTGTTTTGAAAAATCGCATTACTGCATGTGTTGTGTTTAATGATGATAAAATCCTCAATAATTTTAGCAGTCGTTCAAAAGTCTGAATAAATGCACTACTGCAAATTTTGAACACGTTATTTTACGAGTAGTAGCAGGCTTACACGTTAAATTATCGCAAACGAAAGCTTGAAACAAATTTAATCACGTCGAAAACGAAATATAAATATTAAATAACCAATAAAATGATAATCACATATGTGGCACATCAGGAAAGTACAGTATAATCATTTTAATTGTGAAGTATCGAAATTCGTGACATCTATTAAATTCTGAAATTTTGAAATAACGAACGTAAACATTTGTTTTATGTCGAATCGTAAAACTGTAAAAATTTATAGCATTTGAACCAAGTGTTATATTGTTGCAACATAACATATAGTAGAAAACGTTAGCTTATTAAATATGTATACATAATGCTCATTTCGCAAAAAAACCGAACTATATTATTCATTGTTGTATTATTATAATGTATTTAATCAAATAAATCAATAGTCTAACTAAAGTAAAAAAAAAAAACTAAAGCAGTAAAAAGTATATATGTACTAATACAGAAATTAAAATTTAAAAAACTTTGGGTGACGACTATATGTTAACCCACTGCAATAAAACATGTCCTCAACACAAAGAGAAATTACACAATATACAATAACATATAAAATAAAAAACATAAGATCTGAAGTTCGGCTTTTATTAAATTGGACTGTTCTTTTCCCAATGTGCAAGAAAGCACTTACTGCAATTACAATTTTAATACATTGCACTTCGTGTATATTAGAGTGGCTCATGTTTTGCATACAGCTTGATATCATAAAATTTATAAGCGTAAGTGCCTTGGTGTTAAAGATTATCATCGTTTCGTAATTAAAAACTAGATTTTATGTGTCTCCATGTTTTAAATTCGCAGAAAGTTTTACTGAGTCTACCAGAAACACCGTCTTTTTTTGTTTTCATTTAGCTGTTGCGGTTGATTTGATCGACGAAGCTGATGAACACCGTTAATAAAAAGTGGTTAGATGACTTTTTAATGCATCTGTAGAGCAAGACTGAAAACATCAAGAATGCAATGTACTACTGGTACTATGACCAAAACCAGTAAAAGGCATACATTTCGAATATTGTTCACAAAATAAGTATCAACAAAAAATGGAACATATTTATTGATCACTTTGTTATGGAGATTATTAATTTTTTTATAGAAGGAAAGACGTATGTGTATTCAAATCCAGAAACACTAACTTGTCATAGTAGAGCATGAAATACGTATAAACACTGTTGTTGCCTTATTATAATATTCGCCGAGCATCTGGACCAGAGTCACTTCGAGTCGTTTACCTCGTCCACAGGAGGTAAATCAAGTATAAATTAATAACGACAGAATTAATTTAAACCTCCGCCGTCGCCAGGATAATTATTGCCTTTGAAACTTTTTTTCGCACATAAAAAGCCACAGTGGCACAGTTTAGTTACAAAATAAAAATCCTGCACTTACATATATGTCGTACGTAATCCATAATAGCCATAAAAGAGTAATCCTACAAATGAACGTAATCACTATATCACTGAATCTTACACAGAAATTATCACAGAACAAATGGACTTTTCGTAACTGTTTCACGCTCACGCATCGTTGAAGTCACTTCACTGAAATGTGCACAGAACTTGTGTGAAGAGTTACGCCTGCAGCAGCACTAATGAACCACATAGTTAGGATAGTTATTACAAATAATCTCGACCTCACATCCCGTTGAGGAACCGCTAAGTAATCACTGAAATCATGAATGGGCAGGTAGTACTTTCACAACACAGCACGAGTACTTCACTATCGCTGAAACGATGAATGAAATTCGGCGCTAACGTGAAACTTTCAGCTTTTTCAGGCGCACTTCATGAGGGCACGCAATCGCGAACTGTCGCCGAGATTTCCTCGCTCCGATCTGTTGTGATCGAGTTAATTTAAACCGGATTTGTGTCCAGCGCGTTCGCCGGATTTGTGTTCAGCGAGTTCGCCGGAGGCTCCGCAGCTGCTGCTCTGGCTCGGACTCCAGACGCACTGAACGTTTCACGTGGAGCGGCTGAAGCGGTTAATCTCGAAGTCGGCCGAAGAAACATCGTTCGTTTCTTTGCCATCACCTGTTAGTCAAGGCGTACCACTAACTGGTAGTTACCTATAAAAAAGGGAGAAATAATGGACAGACTGTACTGCTCAGGCCTCTTGTCTCTGAATTATTTGAGTGAATCGAAAGCAGTGTAGAGTTTAATTGTTGGGATCCAGTTCACCTGCCCGTCTCGGGCGATAACAGGTGCGACAGGAAAAGATGTTTGGCCCTTTCGCAGCTGCGGCCGAAATTTAAAATCATTCATGCTCCCGGGCTTGTTCTTTTTTATGCTGCGATGTCTGTTTGCTACAAGTTTCCGTCGTTAAGTTCACGTTACACTTGTTCGATAATAACGGACACGAAATGATCCATTTAAACGCACCTTTAAAGCAAAACAATAACAACAACAAAAATTATCAAATTTTCATCTATGTAGCGACAACATGTTCTGATGACACCACTAACTATCTTGTCCTCGAAATACCTGTATTTTACATCCCCAATGGTAGTTAAAACAAGTATTGTGACCGATTGATTTCAAGAATTACGAATTTTGTTTTTTGTCGTTTCATAACTCTTAAAACACAAATATGCAAATTTCCCATTTTCATGTGTCGTATGCCTGTTTACAGTTTCATCAAACAAACAATCTTCTAAATTAACTAACCAATTAACCTGAAATTTTCATACTACAATTTTGATTATTTGCCCCTCTAAAGAACTGATGGCTTCATTTCAGTAATGTTCACTAATTCTCCCTTGAAATGCATGACACGACATGCTGCCGTATCTATCTAATAATTTACCACAATTTTCAGAACAAACACCTTTTACAAGCTCACCTACATAATCGATATTTATTTATATAAAGTTATTATAAAGACCGATTTATTATTTCCCGAGCTTAAGTGGAAGTATTGTAAGAGGCTCCATCCGGCGAATGGCGACTTTCATAGCCTCTCGACCTTTGATGACCCCTAGACTATGAAAAAATGGGTCTCCCATTTCCGTCTGTCTGTCGTCTGTGTAGATATTTATTAAACAGAATGATAATGTATGTGAATGTTATTTGAATTTTATAAAATAACACACTCCTGTACTTGTATTTGTATACGTCATTGTTTATCCTAGGTATTCAGATTTTCTCAAAAAAAACAAATTTTATAATAACATTTTCTATCAGTATAAGAGGAATGACCGATTATCTCAGTTGGTGAAGCTCACGGGTTCGATACCTTCATGAGCCACTTTTTCCACTTACCTTGTACTGATATTATCTATATTTTTGCTTTATAGAGGGGTTATCATAAAATAAATAAAATTTCACAAAATCAAATTTTCCAAGGGAGTGATTTTTCAAAAAACTGGATTTGTTGGAAGTACTTCAGGGCGACGAAAGCTCTGTCTAAATAATGACTATTTTTTACTTCCCGAACGTAAGCGAAGGAAGTGTTGTAATCGAGTCCGTGGCCGATCCTCTACTTTTACGTTTTCTCGACCTTTCATGACCACTAAAGTCTCCTGTTTCCGTCTATCTGTCCGTTCGTCTGTCTGTCCGTCCGTCTGTCTGTCGTCTGTCTTCCCGATTTTTATTAGACATATAATCTCTGAAAGTATTGGGCCGATAGTTGTCAAATTTTGTATTTATATTAAGAATATCATGGTAAAACGCTAACCAAAATTTGTCTAATCATCCCCACCAATAATGTGTTGTATGAAATGACATAGTCCTACACATGTAATCAGAATTATAGAACAATATTTTGCAATTTAATTTTGAATCTGCAAAACCGAATGCTTTGAAATCTTGCAGATGTTTTACAGTTATGGTAATCATGATAAATATTTAATCAAAATATATTTACTTATTCCTTCCAAAAAATTGGTGACGTCAGCTCAAAATTTCGTCCAATAAATACTACCTAAATTGTACAAAATATGATGAGTCTGTCTTTGTAATTTATCATTCCATTCATATTTTTTGGATTTGCATATATACAGGTGACTTAAAAAAATTCATGAATGCGTGAATTTATTTTATTGATTTAATCAGGAACTACAAAACCGAATGCTTTGAAATCTTGGAGATGTTGTAAAGTTGTTATAAGCATGGTAAATTTTGATCAAAATGTATTTGCTTATCCCCCCTAAAAAATTGATGACGGCACCTCAAAATTTTGCTGAATATATCCAATCGTAAATGTACGAAGTATGATGAGTCAATACTTGTGATTTATCACTGCATTAATATTTTTTAGAGTTGCTTATACGCGGTGTCTCAAAAAAATTAATAACTGAGTCAATTTATTTTATTGATTAAATGAAGAATTGCAAAACTGAACACTTAAATCTTACAGACGTTTTGAAGTTATTGTAAGCATGGAAACTTTTTTACGTTTCCATTCACATCTTTAGTTTGACTTACAAGGGTTACCATAAAAAAAAATAAAATTGACAAAATCAAGTCTTATAAGTCAATCAAAAAGTTGGATTTCTTCTACTTTACTTCAGGAGCGAGGAAAGTTCTCTCGAAATAACCTTCGACCATTTTTTTGACTACCCTAAAACATTTTATATTAAATTAAATCGATTCATTTCTGTTGAATGTTTAGTACCTAATATTACTATATCTATCGCAAGTAGTATATGCCCACCACATGACGTCAGAAATTTTTCATAAAATCTGATATGATTAATTGTGTATTGCCAAATGCTTGATTACCAATCATGGCTTAGTACTGTACTTCTTCTGTTGTTATACATGTATCAAATAAATCGTAACATTTATTAGTTTATGATATATCAGAAAAATATTATACATGTGTCGTTATTACTTTTAAAGTACAATGAAACCAATTTAACAAAATAAATATATATTGCTCTAAAGACTGATGATTGATGAAGTGAAGATATGATTTTACTAAAATACCCCAGTACATGCGGCCTTATATCTTGACAATGGATAGAAATATTAATTTTTTTTTGCTTGAAAGGGAAAGCTTAATATAGCATATTCCAAATATACTGCATATAGGGCGTCCGTATTACTATCACGATGATGTAATAAAAATATAATAATAATAAGATATCGGTTAAAAAAAGATAAAATTTATGAATTTAAAAAATATGTAAGTTGAGTGAAATAAAGACTTCCACTTTATTTTAAAAACAACGCAACAAACACAGATTATGTTATGTCATATAACATAAACGTAACAGATATGTCGCTGCTAGATTTTTATCGTACAACTGCTACCTACAGTTTGTGTTGTCTGGGAACTAGTAAGATTTTTTTCAGGATCAGTCGTCCTTCACGCTGAATATGTTTTTCTCAATTAAAAAATTGTACCACTATTTCTATGGCAATATGTGGCAACTAGATATACCTCTTCCAGATATAAAGCGTCGGAGTTTATCTGGGACACCTGTTATGTGTTATTAAAGAAAGCATATTAGAGTTTCTGTAATAAAGATGATGTTTAAAAAATCTGTAAAGTTATTTACACAAATCCCTGTTACCATTACAGTATAAATTCTTGGTGAAGCAAAAAAATTTTTTGAATACAATTTTAAAACTTTTTGGTGCGTAAATGTTTTAATTTGAATACAATTAACATTAAACGGTTTATTATAATGAAGCACAGGCAGTGCAACTTTGGCAATGCATAGGTATATGTTTTCACCAAGATTTATTAAAAATTTGACAAGATGTATTATAATAACATCACAAACTTTAAGGAAAGAAATAATAAATAAATGATTATGTTAAAGTTTTAACAAAATTTCCAATTTCGTTAGTTAATCTATGAATTAACTCTAAATTTTGAAGGCCCAAACTTTTTCTCCAACTCCCATACGGCAAGTTAAAACTAAGGAAACTACTAACCTACGGCTAAAAGAGCTAATATTGCTGTCATAAGAATTTATTTTTCGAAATCCTGATATGTCGTCATATGTATTTAAAATAAAAGAAGAGATCACTTTTTTATCTTTATAAAATCTTAATGAACATTTTCAAAGTAATCAGTTCGGTAGTTTTGAAGATTATTTATCGTCAACGTGAACCGTGAAACAGAAACCCAATCTATATTTTATTTTTTGTGTAAACTGTTCTCATTAAAACGAGATTGTGTTATTTAGTTCGATCTTAAATTGCGGCTTGAAATGGATAAACCCACATAGAACATCATAATCTATAAGTGTCAGTATTTTGTCAACCATTTGCGAAGTTGGTAGTCAAATTTATAAATAAATTACTTGAATCTTTACACAAATTATCTACATTCTTTAATTTCAAAATGTAATCACGAAACATACCTACTTATGTTTATTTAATTAATTAATTAATTAACACTTAATATTCTCCAAAATTATTTTAAAATTCATAATATACACCTCATCAATTTGGTAAGGTGGTGTTTATAATTTAAATTCTAATATATAACAAATTGCTTTGGAATATTAAAGGTTTAAATAAATCATACCGTGACTATTTTGTCAGAGTTATTTTTACAATTAGTAAAAACCTTAAAATACACTACCAAAGCTTACCAAAACTTAACGATATTATTCTTTTTAACGGAAAAAATATTAGTTGATAAATATTTATAAATTTAATAAAAAGTATATGTCACATTACAGTCCCAATGAAAATAAATGAAACCGTGCTAGCATACCACAAAACCACAATTTTACAAAAACCGCAGCCAGCGTGATTTACTTCTAATTAAAATTGAAAATTTAAAAAACAATTTGTGAACAGTTGCCTTCTATTAGTATTATTTAACCGCCATTGTATTATAAAATAAATAAATTTAGCTAAATGTACTTTCTCGGATTACTTATTCGTCTCGAGTTTTTGTTATATATGATCGTCCAGATAATGTAGTGACATTATACCATTACCTGCCTTTCGAATGACATGTATTAGAATTATTATAAATAACGACATTATAATGT